GAAAATTATAGAAATTTTGCTCATTTGTAAACCGAACTAAAGTTAAATATGCTGCAACAATTAGATAGATTTCCTCCAAGGGAAATTATAGAAATCTTGCTCATTAGCAAGTTGAGCTAAGGCTACATGTGCTGCAAAACGATTTTCCACTAAGGAAACCACAACAATTTGTACAAAACGAAAACCGAAGTAACAGTCAAATAACATATTCATTTAATAACAAAATGTGATTACAAGCAATTGGAAAAAGGTACAATGTTCAGTAAAAGCATTAAACAAGCTAAGGGTTAGAGGATCTTGCTGAACTTGGACACTGCTGTCAATGTCTGTATCAGCGGGGGAGATGCGAACCCCTGCTGCCTCCGACAACTTCTACAACTCTTTCTTTTGCTCCTCTAAAGCTTCCACCAAGAAGACAGTATCAAAGTCTGGCCTTTCTTTGCCAATATGCTTCACAAGCTCTTCTAAGGCTACCACATAGGTAACTTGAGCTAGAGCGTCGAACTTAGGAGAGGCCCTCTTAATATCCACTGCGGCTTTAGCCTTAACCTCTTCTGCCTTCTTGGTGGCTTTTTCAGCCTTCTTCACTGCCCATTAGCTCGAGCTCACTCCTCATCAGCTTTGGTTCTCTTCTCCTCAGCTCTTTTTTTCTTATCAGAGGCCCTCTGACAAGCCTTCTCCCCCCAAATTTGTAGGGCCTTATTGTCATCCATAAGGTTTAGCTCCAAGGCTGACTTCGCCTCCAATTCTACCCTCATCCTGTTAAGGCGATCTTCATACTCACTCTCCTTTTCAGCAAACCTCGCCCTATCATCCTACATGTTTTCCAAAAGGCCTAAAGCTTGACTTTTGACCTCTAGCATTTTGTCTAGTTCGGCCATTACCTGAAAAAAAAAAAGAGAGAGGGCAATCTGAGTTATAAAATCAAAGAAGCAAAAAGTTTCAAAGTACACGAGCTCGAATGACGTACCTTATCCGCCACATACATCATATACAAAATGGATTCATGGCTGTGGAGCTGAGCAAAGATTATAGCCTCGCCTATTGGCACTCAGTAAGGAATTGATGCTCCCTCCCATTCCAGCTCATAGTAATTGATGAATCAAAACTACGTAGTTTTAACACCAAGCTTCAAAGGGAAGCTAATGAAAGTGTTGGACAGCTCGCCAAATGAAACAATGACACTTGTCAAACAAATTAATGTGGTAATAATGACAAATATAGGAAAACAAGCCACCTATGTTCAAGGTGGGTCCATTACCTAGGTGAGCACAAACCTGGGGGGTAACTGCTGGCCTCTGAAGTTCGACCTAATCAAAATGTGTATTATGAGTACTTAGCTCGTATAAAATTCAGATCAGATCACTAGGGTTATCTCGTACCTAAGACCGTCATAATTCTAAGAGACATAATGATTACAGGCTCCTTCTACGCTATCAAACCACTCAGTCTCCCCAATCAACCAGTAACACTTGAAGAGAATGACGTCAACGCCTCCCTATTTCCATGACTTCTTATCCATAATCAACTCATCATTTTCTGGTAACACAATAGGAAATGACATCATGATAATTTGATGGGAGCCGACCTCATCAACCAATCAAGGGTAAAATGATTGACACACCTTCCAACTTCGGCACTATAGCAAATTTGATTTACAAGACACGAGTCTAGACAATGAGAAGCCATTTTCCCTATAAATAGAGAAAGATGGTCCACTCCAAAGGCAAAGCTCGGATTACTTTACAACTTCGATACAAACAATGTCATTCTCACTTCTTTTCTTGGTAGCTTATATTTGAAAATTGTTATTAATAAAAACACAATTTTATCTTAGAGTTGGCCCAGAAATTATCCTTACAATTTTTTACCTCAACACAATTTTATTTAATTATTTAAACTTTTAAATCAATTTTTTTATGACTTCTCTTGTTTAGTAGAGATTAAGATCAGATTTTTAGTAAATTTTCATAAAAGTTGATAAAATTTGTGGTTGAAAAGTTGTGGATTCCATGAAATGTATAGTTAAAAATTAATTATTAACTTTGATTTGAAATTTTAATTTGATTTTAATCCAAACGAAACATTTGCCTTCCAATTGGACAAATTTTCTTTTGTGATTAATAAAATTTTTCCCTTAATGTGGGGTCCAATTATAAAGGAAGAAGTGTATAAAATGGTTTGCAACGTGTTGCAACCAATAAAAGGAATGTAGTGGAATGAACGCTACCACGTGCGCAATAAGAATAATGCAATTTTTTAGAAAAATAATTTTTTAAAAAATGTATAATTAAAAAATAAAGTAAATTATGAATTCGTGTATAAAATAATTTTATATAAAAAAAAATTGAGTTTAAAATTAGTTTAAAATAATTTGTATCAAACATGGTAGAGAAAAATTAAATACCTTTTTAAGGAGAAACACAAAAACCATATGATTCACAAGAATACGGTCTTTCAAGGCACTCTCAAAGTTTAGACCCTTAAATTTGTCTTGTGTAATAAAAATATATTCGTTGACAATGATACAACTTATGAAAAGGTCATATCTCAAATTAATTATGTATTTCCTTTCGCCAGCAATTATTTTATTTTTTTAAAAAAATTTAAAACTCGGAGCATTTTCGATTGTGGTTTAAAATTGGATGTAAATTGATATTTTTAAAATCACTTTTGCATCCTCGTTTACATACCAATGAATTCAAATTCAAAACTTGTTTTAGTGAGAACATCTAAATCTACTTTTTGCTTCTTGTGGAGTGAAAAAAATATGTAAATTTACATATTCATTTATATTTTGTCGAAAAATGTAATTTACATCTTTTCATTGAAAATATTTTCGTCCAATTTGAAGCTCTAAATTCAAATCTATTTTACATAGTCATTGAAGGTCCTCTTAGAGATGGTAAAAAATCAGTCAAACCCGATACCGCGAAGCCCCGTCCCGAATGAGGCGAAAATTACCTTTTAATCGGATATTCAGGTCGGGGACGGGGAGGGTGACTTCGTCCCGAGGCATGGGTAACAAGTACCCCTTCCCTTCCCGTCCCGTTTAATTTTTAAATTTTTTTAAGAATTCAAAACTTTAAATGGAAAATTTCACTAAATTTCATTAATTCTAATAGAAAATAACAACTAAAATTATTTAAAAAATATGACTAATATTAAAAGTCTTAATTTATCAAATATATTTGAATAATTTAACTTTTAAAAATAAATAAAAAAAATATATTATTGTATCACTTTAATGAAAGAGGACTATAAACTAAATTATCAAAAACTTTTAAAAAAAAAAAATTAAATCGGAAGTAAACAGGGCAATGATCCCTCCCCTCCCCGATCTGCCCATCATTAAATCGGTAACAGGATGGGAGAGGTTGTCTCGATCTCGACCTCGATCCGTCCCACTGCCATCCTAGATCCTCTTCAATATTGAAATCTTTCTAATTTAAATTTGATTCTTCGTTATCACTCTACCTTTTAATTGCACAATTTCATTAGACGGTTGACTTCATCATGTCTTCCCATTTTACAAACAATATATATATATACAGAAAAAATAGAAAAAGAAACATAAGCAGTCAGAAAAAGTGAGAACATAAAATTATGGAAACAACGTAGGAATTTCCAAGTAATGACGGTGGATGTTGTTACATCCCAATGTTTCCAATAAGAAAATGACCCCACCGCAATTTCTAACACATCATTTTTTAATTATGAGCATTTTGAGTCCTATTTTTTCTTCAAGTAATTTGAAATATTATTTTGCAACTGTTTGATTCCGATTAAAATTTGATTTTAAACTAAGTTAAAGTCAAACAATAAATATTAATTTCATTAGTCCCACAATTTTTCAACCATACATTTCAAACACTTTTATCACAATTTACTAAAAATCTAATTTTAATTTTCACCAAACACCCTCTTTGATGGAAAGTGTGTGATTAAAAAATAAAAATTTCTATATAATATTATTTTATTGAAAAATACGTAATAACAATTAAAAATATATTTGAAAAATAATTGGAATATATATACAAAGCTCTTTTCCTTTCCAGCCACTCAACACCTTCTTCTCTGCTGAAAAAAAAAAAAAAAA